GTAGCGGAGGACGAAGTTATTAGAATAATTTATTTTGCACTTTGTCAGTCCATTCTCACATACTGTATATCGGCATGGGGAGGAGCGGCTGAATCTCTATTGCTTAAGTTGGAACGTGCACAGAGAGCAATCCTTAAAGTTGCCTATCGCAGGCCGTTTAGATACCCCACAGTCAAACTCCACCTAGAAACAAAAACCCTCTCGGTAAGGAAGCTTTACATCTTGGCGACCTGTTCAAGATATCATAGATTCCATGGGCTCACAATTCAGGACACATCTAAGAACAGACGTTTTGCATTCCCAACGCCAAAACGAAGGACTGTATTTGGACAACGCTCCTTTGCATTTAGGGGCCCCTTCCTTTATAACAAAATCTCCAAATCTATGGACTCTGAGATCGTAAAACTATCCAGATATAAATTAGCAAGTCACATAGAAACTACACTAGCCAAATTGGATTTCGAATCCACAGAGGCATTACTACATATCTTGGTATGACTTTGAGGTTTCATAAACACAGACACAGTGCACGATCATAACAACTTTCAGCTACATTCTCAAATACATGCGCAAACTCACCTATTCACACACTCACTCATTCACTTCATACGTAACACTAAATTTATAACTATTATTGGTATTTTTTATTTTTTATTATCATTTTTTCATATCACATTTTTAAACTAATTTTAACATGTACCACGAAACAATTGTTTTCTAGTTACCCACAACACAGGGCCTCCCTAGTGTGGGGACTAGCGATTTATGATTTCTGTCACAAACCTTTCTGTCATCAATAAAGTTTTTATTATTATTATTATTATTATTATTAAAGAAATAAATATTAATGCTTCTAATTTTACATTTACTGCCAGTTCTCAAATCAAGGGCGTAGAACGGAAGAGAAGAACTGGCAATAAACTCTCCGCCACTCTTTTTAATCGCCATGTTTTTTTTTTTTTTTTTTACAACGTTTGTAAGGAGCTGCAACCATTACACCATGTTCCACATGACATTTTAAGTAATTAATAATAATAACATAAATAAAAACAAAGGCTTGTCCCGTATCAGCAGGAGGCATGGTGAAATAGGAGCACGCACTTACATTCTCGTGGGAACAACACGCAAACACATAGTCATAGCAGAGTCTGGAAATGCAGCCGAGAGATTCAGTCGTGTTACCTATAATATATACTGGAGCAACTCATATCCAAGCACTAGGATCGTTTAAATATTCATTTATATTATAATAAGCCTTAGCAAGCAGTTTTACTTTAATGTACGATTTAAATTTATTTATTGACAACGCTTGGATCTCACTAGGGATTTTGTTGAAAAAACGTATACAATTGCCTTGGAAAGAATTACTCGTTTTATGCAGCCTTCTGGTTGGTGCGCTAATTTTGTCTTTATTACGAGTACTATAATTATGGAAGCTACTATTCTTTTTAAAGATATCTATATTTTTCCGCACATACAAAATATTCTCATAAATGTATTGACTTGCCAGAGTCAAAATATGTAATTCCTTAAATTTGCTTCGGACCGACTCCCGTGGGGACAACCCACAGATCGCTCTTATAGCCCGCTTTTGCACTACAAATATCGATTTAATGTCAGCTGCATTACCCCACAAAATAACACCATATGACATAATACTATGAAAATAGCTGAAATAAACAAGCTTTGCTGTGTTCTCATCCGTAAGATCGCGTATCTTTTTTACTGCGAACGCTGCGGAACTTAGCCTATTCGAAAGACCTTCTATGTGTCGGCCCCACTGGAGTTTACTATCTAAAGTAATTCCCAAGAACACCGCATTATCAACAAAGTCTATTTCCTCGTCTTTAATTATTATTTGAGAATGACTACTTTTTACATTTGTAGTTACAAATTTAACACATTTTGTCTTCTTTTCGTTTAACTTAAGATTATTTGTATTAAACCAGTGAACTACACTGGAGATGGCACTGTTTACGTTATCAAGTGATGGATTTTGTCGTTTCACTTTAAATAAAAGCGAAGTGTCATCAGCAAACAGTACTATCTCGTGAAGCTCCTTTACAATAAATGGCAGGTCATTTATATAGACGAGGAATAAGAAGGGACCAAGTATGGAGCCTTGCGGTACTCCCATAGTAACAGAGGATCCCTGTGATATAGCTCCATTTACATATACCTTTTGAATTCTATCGCTCAGGTATGATTCCACAAGATTTAGCGCTTTTTCGCCAATGCCATAGTGTTGAAGTTTCTTGATTAGGATTTCGTGATGGACACAGTCAAAAGCCTTTGATAAGTCGCAAAAAACTCCAATGGCATCATGAGAATTTTCCCAAGCATTTAAAATCTCGGAAATTAATTGAATGTCAGCATCTGCTGTGGAGCGACCTCTTGTAAAACCATACTGCTGGCTATGCATAATTTTATTATTATTAAAATGTATCAATAATTGTTCAAGAATGATTTTTTCAAAGATTTTACTCAAAGCCGGCAGCACAGATATGGGTCTAAAATTTGTGGGGTCCGAAGTGCTGCCCGTTTTGAATAACGGTGTGATTTTACTTATCTTCATCTGGTCTGGAAAGACTCCACAATCTATACATTCATTAAATATTATAGCCAACTCTGAACTGATAGTATTGATTACTGATTGTAAAATGAAAACAGATACACCCCAAAGATCTTTAGTTTTTTTTATTTTTAGCTGTTTAAATGTTTTTATAATGTCATTGCAGCTAATGCGGCTAAATACAAACTTATGATTGCATACAGGAACATTCGTTTTCAATAATAAAAGGGCGGCTGATGGTGAAGAATTTAAAACGCTGGTTGTATTTAAAGGAATGTTAGTAAAAACTCTTCAAATGCAGAGGCTACTTCGAGGTCGGAACTAATTACTTTGCCGTTTATGTTCACTTTAAATTCAGTATCCTTTCTGGAGGTTCTTCCAGTCTCCTCGTTTATAATTTTCCAAGTAGCCTTTATCTTATCAGAGCTGTTGTTTATTCTAAGACTTAAGTGTTTCGCCTTAGCGATTCTACACTCTTGCCTAAAACTTTTTGAGAATATCCTAACATAAGTTTTAAATTCTTCACTGTCATTATACTGTTTTTCATCATACAACTCATACAATTTTAGCCTTTTTTTGTGTAGCTCCGGAGTTGCCCAGTCACAAAAGGTTGGTTTCTCCGAGACCAAAAAAGTCTTTGGAGTGAACACATTTTGAATTCACCAATAAATGAATCAAAGAATGTGCTATATAAATTATTAGGGCATTGGTTACTACGCAAAAATGGCATTTTAAATATCAAATTTTTCCTAAATCTGTCTAACCGATCCTCTGTTATAGGAATTGTGCATATTTTCTTTTTTTGATCTTTACATTTTAGTATTTCAAATTCAAACAATTGACCAGAGTGGTCAGATGTAAGTTTGTTGATAATACAGGCGTTGAGAGGAACTATATTACTATAGATATTGTCAATACATGTTGCCGTGGTGGCTGTTACCCTAGTTGGTACAATAAAAGTATTAATTAAATTATATGATTTAAACAGATTTAGCAAACGTTTACTTGAACTACAGTTGTCAAGCAAATTTACATTAAAGTCTCCACTAACGATCAATTTTTTCTTGGATTTTTGCAATTTGTACAGAACCTGCTCCAATATTTTTTCTAAACTATCATATTGAGCTGAAGGAGGGCTATACAAACTAACAATGATAAATTGCTCCAGCTCCACACAAGATACTTCTATAAGGCGTTCCACAGAGAGGCTCACTATGTCCTTCCTTTCTTTAAATTTTATTTTTTTACTAAGCAATATTAATGAGCCACCGTGTATTGCATTTCCTCTGCAGAACGAACTACCAATCTGATGATTACAAAAATTGAACATAAGTTCACATGTCTTTAACCAGTGTTCTGTAATACACAGTATGTCAACATTTTCACTGCTCAAAAACAACTCAATTTCCAGTAATTTACTTTTCATGCCTTGTATATTTTGGTGAACCAGATTGATAGTATTGTTCTTAAATTTACTTAGCTTACTTTCTAATTCTAGGCCAGAGAGACTCTCTGTTGTCTTAGTGTCTAGTTTAAATTAGATATACTATTTCTTGGAATATCTTCCAAGGTCTTACTAACTAAAACCTGCTCAATAGAAGCAGGTTGTCTAGCCAAATTCTTTTTCATAGGTGACACACCTCAAAACTGCCTTAAAAACACTTAGTTGTGGCACGACGGACGTGAAGGTGATCGTGGAACTTCGTATTCTGCCTCGACGTCCGATGATGAAACTCAGCTGCAGGTATTAATCTGAAACTCCTTTGAACACTGTCCCTTGTAAATGCGGTAGAAGATTCAGAGTGACCCCACATCTCTACGCAACGCCAAAGAAATCAAGTCGCTCGGAAAGGGATTGGTCGTCGACGATTTGAACCGCATTTCGTTGAATAATTTCAAGTGGAAGGAGCTGGTACTAGGAAGCTTCTGCCCAGAGATGAAAACGGTACTCCATCTGGGGCCAAATTTGCGCTTTATACAGTTACAAGCGGTGGCCCGGATTTAAGTACAGTCTCGCGTTGCTGAGCACACCAAGCTTCTTGAAGGGTGTTTTTTTGCGGATAACGTGCTAAATTACATACTTTTATAATTTCTCACGGTTAATAATTCTTTAAAAGTTCTTATTGTTATTTTATGGCGTAAAATTATTAATTTATTAAGAACAATTCTATGCATACTGCTAACTTGCCACATATCGGCGTCGTCTGTTACCGTAAAAAATGATTATAAAAATTCCAGACCAATAAAAGGTTGCCAATATTAAGTTTTTAATTATTATCTTCACTGTTGGTTTCATTATTCAGAGATACAAAGTACAGGTTTAAGTAAATCTTAACTCTCCAGATTTGTGCCATACATATTTATTTCAGAAAAAAGCTTAAAATAATTTTATTAATATATGATAATACAATAATGGGCTTCCGCAGGCTTACTTCACTGGTTTCATTTGCCAGAGTCCATCATTGAGATAATGGCAGTTTTCTATTCCAACTCCTTTATTTACTTCAGCTCTGCAAGAAAAATAAGATTTTAAAATATGCCGATGTCATAAATCACAATTCCATACATGGGTTTTTTGAAACAATGACATGACATCAATATATGTATATTGAAAATTTATATGGCTGTAAATAAATACATTAGTAAAATAAAAGTATTCTAAGGCCCTTACATTGTAGTAAAATATATTTGATCTAATCAATTTAAAATGTCAACTCAAAACTTCAATGTTATATGGTATTTATTACTTAGATTACTGATATAGTAATAAAGTAAATTACTTTGTTTAACAAATTTCAGTTTTCTTTTCTTTTATTTCTTTTTGTCTATTAATGTACGTATGTTTTCTGTTTCCTATATTTTGTTTATCAATGTAATCTGTATTAGCTTTGTATATTGTCTAAGTGTTTTGTTATATACAACGGATGTTAACTGTAAGATTACTAATAAATAGGTAAAAGTAAGTAAGTAGCTTTGTAGCTCTTTTCGTTAATCCAGGGGCATTTACCAGACTATGTTTCTAGAAATTATGGTTCAGCGTACCATGACATAGATATACTATTATTTGTCTCTCGATATTTACATTTCCTTAGTAGACAGCGAAGTGATGCCAATAGCCAATGCGTGTTCCTTTCCCTCAGCCATCACTGCCACCACGCTGCCCTTTTCCACGGAACTCATCCTCGCCCCTGGTGACGTCAGACCGGGACACATAATGTTGGCGCCACTGAGCACGAAACGTATGGCACCTTTGTCCACTTGCTGCATGGGTAGGAAGAATGGATCTGTAAAGATATATCCAGTATTCATTGGGAGCCATTGTGAAAAGTACATCATGATACGTTGTACTTTTTAGACACAAGATGGCGCGGGTGACAAAAATATAGAGGGAAAGCATAACCATAATTTAGAAGTCATACGCCGGACCAATAATATTAGATAGTTAATGATAGCGTCGGAATATTCCAAAAGCAATCCCAACTTCGTTATTTAGTGTTTGTACCAGCTTTATATATACTAATAGAATTCCAGCCGGCCTCTATTCGGTTTGGGACAAAGTTATTTAGGGAATTTGTATCATATTGAGTGGTCTTCAGTTTTAAATAACTACCTGTGAAAAGTTCTCACTTAAAATAAAGAGCTCCTCAATTCCTGGAACATTACAGTATATAGGTTTCAACGAGATAATCACTTAATCGCCTACTTCCTAAATCAGTAAGATCAAGTGCTTTTAGACGCTCATTCGGTTTGTTCCTAAGTGTTCTGACAATTTTCGTGGCTTTTCTTTGATCCAAGTAAAAGATCTTAATACTTTTATGAAATAAGGATCCCAGATGCTCTAGGCATACTCTAATAGTGTTCTAATGTATATTTTATATATATAAGAGTGTTCTTGATGTGAGGCAATTAAATGATTTTCTCACCAAATAGAGCATAGAATTTGCCTTTTGAATATTAATTATTATTAGCACTACGAACAGTGAGGGAAAGAAATCGGCACTAATAAAATTGAAGGTTAAATTAAAATTGGATTATCATATAATCTATGTTACACATATTCAACCAGGCCGAGATAGACGCTATTTACGTAATTGTATTTTAAGTTATTAACTCTAAATTTCGTTTGATAACAATTATTATTATATTATATTTTAATGAAATATTCATAACTAGATGGTAAACTTCGCATCACCTACTTATATAATATATTTGTATCAAAACTTAATACAATACTTTTAAAACAGAACAAATAGTTTGGACCTCATACAGGTATGAAAAAAAATTTCTAAATATACATATAACAATTGACATTGTTTTATTTCTAAATGACATCAAATATTTCCCAGCTAGGAACAGTTTTAATTGGAAAAATTCAAATGTCGTTTTTCGTATTTTTCTTTACTATTATTTATGGATCCTACCATTTAAACCTTCCCTGAACTTTCACAAATATTTAAAGGTCACACTTAGCCAAATCGGTAAAGTCATTTTTAAGTTTGAGAGAGACTGTTGGTTTAACCCAATACCAATACATTACTTCTTCCCTCCCTATAACAAAACCTCTCTCTAACGAATAAAAATGCTCGCACCCTTGAAATTCGTTATAAAGAGTATATAGATTTAAAACTGTAGAATATTACTTTAATTTCGACACATACATTTATGTAGCAGTCTGAGTGTGGGCATCCACGATCCTTCTCTGTGTCTAAAGAAGAGCAGCTCACCAGCACTGTTCACCATAATTTCGATGTGGTCGTGGCTGAAAATGAAAATACCAAAATCTAATAAGGCTTACATTTTGTTATTAAAGAAGAAATATTGATTTTTGAAGTTATACTTCTTTTGGCGCTTTAGGGAAAAATGATGAGAGTAAATTTTTACGATGTATGCGCACGCCGTCACAAAAAACCGACGCCCTGAAGTTATCTATAGTCAACATTTTAGTTTTTTCTATTGTTAGTGTAGTTTTTTCTACAAACGTAGAATAAAATTTTTGAAAAGATTTTTATCTTGTCACGCCAAAAAAGTATAACTTCTAACGCGTCACGTACATAAGTACCTACATATAATTTTTTTTTCGAACTATGAACGAATTAGTAAGAATCTTGAACGAGGCCAAGATTCTTACTTAATAAATTCATCCACCAGTTCCGCTACAGCTATATATCTGGGCAGGTACAATTTGGGGATCATTTATTTATATGTTTAATAATTTATTTTTCTTAATAAGCAATTTAGGTTAGCTTTCTGACACACGTCAATTTTTCTGTCTAAGGCATGACGGTTTCCTTACGATGTTTTCCTTGAAAGAGTGTTAAAGCACTTAGAATAATAATTTTGCGCACAGCTCCATCACACGCTCCATCCACTAGGACAACTGCTCTCTCTAATAAAAAAAAAATTACAATATTTTTTTATGATCCTACTATCCTATCGAACCTATGATACCCGCTGGGAAGCGATAGATCCCATATATTTAAGTTACACAAAATGGATAATAATTAATCATGGTAGTCACTTTGGTCTAGAGTTTTGACACTGCATTGACTCTCGCCACATAACACACACAAAAAGTCCTTTGGTGTACAGTAGGAGATCGAATCTACGTCTCCAGGGATGAGAGTCGCACGTTGAAAGGCCAACAGTGCTCATGTAAAATGTATATAGTATTATTCTTTCTTTCCACGGCACACTCCCCGTACCCACATTACAGGTTCATCCTTATTTATCTCTTCTGTCGTCACCTAATCATTTTCACATCCATATTGGAATGACAGCAAAACTTACCATTTGACAATCCTAAAAGTATCCTTTTTGGGTAGAATCTGGTCAATGTAGTTGTCTAAATATGGGTAAAGCTCCAACAAGCGTGACCTGATACCCTTCTGTACTGAAGATTTTAGCTGCTGAACTCCAGAAATGCTTTCCTTTTCATCGAATCTGGAAAGATAAATACTCCTTTAAGTAATTATTATCGATGTAATCAAGTGAATAACAATTGAATTAACCTTTGAGTTTACTTTGTCTATTAATTCGAATTAAATTGTTTAAATATATTTAATTTGGTATTATAATGTATAGTTTATCGAATGTATAATTAAAAAAACACAACGAGAATCATTATACAGTAATCACTTTAATAATGACCGTTTTAATGTAATTTGTAGATATTTAATATTAATAGTTTTCTTATTTAATGGTTGGTACGTAGAAGACCTAAGATTACACTATTAAATCATAGATCATCTGCCAGAGCAAATGTCTATGTTTCATTAAGACTATTTTTTGTACTAGAGAAGTATGGAAGGGTATGACGGGTCTGGGCGTTACTGCATACGATTTTTTGCATTTTCTGAGAAGATTTACTATGGTTTTATATATATATTTTTTTACCATAGGAAAGTAGAGATTTCAACGAACTGAAAGCACACCAACTTTTTGAAAAAAGCTGAAATTTTGACGTCAGAATTTTCGATTGAAAATTAGGGTGTTTTTTCGATATTAATTCAAAATAAGGTGAAAAAAATAAACTTTTTAATCAAATAAATTACAGTATATTTGGGACATAATAAGGTAAGTTTTCACCAAATTTCTTTAAAAAAAAAAAGAAATTTGTAAAAGATAAAAATTAAAAACCAAAAACTTGGTTTTTTGAATTTTTCACATAAATTTTGAGGTTATGTGAAAAATGTGTGAATACAAAAGTTTTAGATCTTTTTATTACCTACAACTTTGCCATTTAACTTTCTTCGATAGGACTTTTAGTTTTGCCGAAAATCGAGATAAACCGTTTTTTACCCTTTGAAAGGAACTGGCAATAAACAACAATACATGTCTTGTTGAAATTGTTACCGTTTTACGTGAAAAATCGAAACAATAGCAACCACAGTCCTTTATTGTGTATAAGACGCATGCGCGATGCAGCCATTCTTTTGCGAAATACATTGGCTGTAAAAACAATCGAAATTCGATTTGTCTTTCAATACACATGCAATACTCTTCGCAAGTATTGACCTCATAGAATTAGTTACTATATTTGCAGTTCACGTGTTTGCGTGCAAGGGTTTCCTCACTAATCCTCAATGCGACTTTCGAAACACGTTGCTACAGTAGAAAACAATAACATTACTTTTATCATTTACATATTATAGGCTACACCAATAGGGTATGAGGAAATATTTTACCAATCGGAAATACTTTATTTAAAGCAATAGTAAATTGTCTTTATAATTAGTATTTTAAAGTAAATTTAGTAGTTGTAGTTGGATTAACGTTTAATTTCAGTTTTCTCTTTTTTATCTATGAATGTACCTACTTTATTGTTTTTTGTTTTTGTATTTAGTTTAACAATGTAATCTGTTTTGGCTTTGTATACTGACTACGTGTTTTCTTTTATAATAATGTATGTGTAATATTACTTATAACGAAAAAGGCTTAATTAACAAAATCTGACTAAATAAATTGCCATTTTCAAATCATAATAAAAAAAAGTCGAATTGTAAACGAATTGTAACTCGATAAATAAGTGTCCTCGAATTCTAAGAAAAACGATAAGAAACAGGAACTGAAAAGTCATAGATAAATATACAATAGGTAAGTAGTTCGGTTCAAAGATACTTTATTTATCTCTCTCTTTCTTTCTATAAGAATTAAATTCACTTAGTAAGAAATTTTAGAGTAGGTTAGTAAATCATCATGTTATGAAATTATTTAAAAATAAGCGATAAAATAAATATATTAGTTTCTAAGAATATGTACTATATTTTTTACAAAAGTAGTTACTTAAGCCATAATATACACATGAGGAAATTCATTTGAACAAGAGAAACGAGTCCAAAGAACCTGCTCCTTACTCTGTAAGGTCGCAACCTTGGGACAGCGCGGTAACACGCAACGACATCAGTGCTATCGTAATTAACAGAACCGCATCGACATTCTATACAAACATATCGGGATCAGTACCGCTGTTGCTATTGGAAGATACGGAGAAAGGGCGAAAAACCGCCTTCAAAAACCCGAAGCTTACAACGTTGTCATTTGTCTATGTGTACATACTCTATATTTAAATAGAATCCTCGAATATTCCTCGTCGTAGGATTCGTCTATAACGTATATTATCTGTAATCATAGACTACAGATGCATAAGACACGGACCTTTTCAGCTTTCGATGGAATCTTTATACTTCAAAATGTTGTCTTATATAACCGTTCCTTAACGAGCGCCTCTGTATGTCATAAACAAATCTAAACGTATTTTTATTTACATGATATTATACAAACCTAATATTTAAGCCTTGTGTCGAAGCATATTTGATAACATCTGATTAGAAAAACAAAAACACATCACAAAGCGACATTGAAATTTAGGGTCACAACAAATATTTGTCTACATGTTAATAGACCAGAAATTCAGATTTTAAATAAATATCCACAGTGTAGGATAGGAAATTACAGTAAATAATTTGTAGACTTCAATATAATACATCCTTACAAATTATACAATGAAGTCCCCCTCGGCCGTGTCCGCTGAATATAATAGACAGAAAAACTACCGAGAGCATTTTTGTACGGTTGTCAATAATAGATAAGTAGTGTGATCTGAACTTATAGGTGGAAAATCATAACATTATGGGTTTATGCCAAAATACACAAAATCCACTCGGGCGCTGCGAGCGGAAGTATTAAAATACTCTAACACAGCTGTCATTAGAATATCAATAACAAAGGTGAATAATTTTGTTCCCCTTGCGTTTTAGACTAACCGAAGAACCTACGTTTTTGTACTGCTCACTTTAAACATCTTTTGACATTGTATTGATTACATTTATAATTGCAGAAACAAACCTACATCATACATGGATCGGATGATGTCCGAATCACTATTAAAGTGAATGATAGCGGAATGAAAGGCAGCCCTATTGAACTGTGTCATCACGCGTTCATACAAATTCAACGTCGGCGGCGCACGATTCCGCTGAGCGACACGTGCGCAATAGATCACGTGTTCGTGTACCACGAGGCTTACACAATTTTTCATACGTCCGTGAGCTATTTTTAATGTATCTCTGGTACATAGCGAGTGCAGTAACGACGTGGTATAAGTTAATAGTGCATCTGTGACCTGTTTTTCATTATAACGTCGTATAAGTCAGTAAAATTATATAAAAATCCCAAAGCAAGCTTGCTGCAACATTTAAATTATGTGCAGTATACGCATTTTATAAATTGAAATATTGATTATGGACGCTACATTTTTTTTAAAATTGATGTCAAAAAACCACAAGGAGGTTTTAATGTCAAAAGTCAAGTAACAAACAATATAGCTTATACGTTGTAGGTGCATTTCAGAGTCGTTTATGTGTAACGAGATATTCGTTTGATAACTGCGTGTCCTGTTGCAACCGCAACGTGGCTTCCATAATAAGTAATGTCCTTATTACCTACTAAATATAGTACATAAACGTCGTTCATTTCAATAATAATAACAATTGGAATAACTAAATTTAAATTAATTATAGTACTGGACGTGTTTGATGAATTTATTAAATTCACTACTACTATAAATCTATAAAAAACCAAATACCAATAAAGTGTCAACAATTCAAAGTAACCGTATCTTACGAGAAGATTTTTTATTGGTATTTATTAAGAAACATTGCAATTGTATATGAAACCTTTAGATGTTTTAAGACCTATCGGCTATTCTCTATAAATTATAGGATAGAATGGGTCCAGGACTTTTCAACGCACAAAAATCTCTCTTTATTAGCATAGATCTTAACTGGACATCATCACCTCGATTAGCCTAAAAAGTTTTGAATTCTAGGTCATAATTGATCGACCGCAAGCACTAAATTAGTTTACGGTGGCACGGAATGTACTATTGTTACATTCATTTAGACGACATGAATTTATCAACCAAATCTTTGTTTTATGATTGGAACACATGACATTATAAGTTGGGCCTTAGTACTATATTATTATAGATACATAGGAGTCGTTTAAGTGAAAGGAAGAAGAAGGAAGAGTCTCGGCTTTTGAGGAAAGCCGGTTGGTAGCCGAAGCCGGTTGCGCATTCATGCGCTGCATACTTTTCATTCTTTCGCATTATTTACAGTAAGTGAGAAGAGTATGATTCGTTCTATATAGACAAGTGTTTGAGGTCGGTGAGCCTGTTTAGGAGGTGCCATAGTATTTGTAGTCATCATGTTTTTAAAAGATTTTTTTACGCTTTGAAGTAATGAAAAATTAAAATTGCGTGTAACCATAGCGTGTTTAAATTGGTTTGTTTTTCATATTTGATATTTAAAAAACTTAAAAAACAATCCTTGATATTTGACGAACTGAACTGAATAAAATTAAATACATTAAGTATGTATTTACCATTAGTTACTATCGAAATTCTTATTAATGCTGCAGATGTTTTGAGTAACAATGATGAGGATTGAGGATTCGAAAACATTTTGCAGTCTTCTGGATAATCTAAATATCAGTTAGGAATACTATTCGTATCATCAATATCGCGAATTAAACTTAAATCATTAAAAAATGGGGATGGCATTACATTTAAACAAAAACTAAATAACTCCTCTGCTCCAGACTAAGCGCAGTCTTTAAAATCCAAGAAGCACTGATGGATATTTTTTACTTTTCTAATCCCTAATGACTTTTGTATTATTTTTTTTTAATAATATCAAATGCGCACAACGGACCAAATGGGCGTCTAAGTGCGGAAACTGAGTCCACACTATATAATATCGAATCACGAACAAATTTAATAGACACACGAGTTCATTATAAGATTTTAGATAATGGGTAAATTTATCGACACGAACTGTCATTTTCATACAAATTTACTTTTCGGCTTCTTACATACACTACTGTTAAACCATCTTGACTAAGCCCCCAGCACTGCTCTCACTGATAATGTATTGTTATTGTCTTAGCTTCCTCAGTAATATTATTAATTACATTAAATACAAAGTTTGATAAAACAAAGTTCCAAGAATTTATCATTCATATAATAGTTATAACAAAGATTTACGAGTTTCCTCAACTTTTCCAAACTTAGAAACAATATTACTTATAGGAAACGAATTTACTTTCAATTTATCGCTTAAGTTTTATCAACGTTAAAATTCCAAGTATAAAGTATGATTATTAAATTATTTCTCGTTATACTCATTGTTTTTTTTATGTAACGGGGCAAACGGGTACAAGGCTCACTTGATGTTATTTGATACCGCCACCCATAGACACTGACATTGCCAGAGGGCTCGCAAGTGCGTGACCAGTCTTTGCCTTTTGATCGTTATTTATGATGATCATTTTGTGCCTACCACACGTCGATTTTCTAAGGTTCTCTCTCTGCTTTCCTTCACAGTACGCCGAACGCAGTTATGCGAATTGATATCAAATCTATAAGCATTTAATATATATTTATTTTTTGTCGTTCATAAGTGTACATTGTGTTACCAATATGAATAAATGATTTTGATCTAAACTATATTATCCCAGTTTTTTTATATATATAACAGGGGGCAAATAGACAGAAGGCTCATCTGCTGTTAAGACACTCACATTGCCAGAGGGCTCGCAAGTGCGTTGCCGGCCGTGAATTAGTACGCTCTTTTCTAGAAGGGCTCTAAGTCGAATGGTTCGGAAATACTTCACTGGGCATCTGGAACGACGGACGGTGAGGTGAAGTCGACAATGGTCGAGAAGCAATGACCGTCCATTGTTTCTTGCGGTTGGTGTACGAGTAAGAGGAAATATAATTCGCAACTCATTATTACAGGGCAAAAACGTTGACGTGGATTTACGTCAATATACCTAACGGTTTTTACATCGTCAGCTTATTATTGCCCGCGCATCTGCGTTGCGGAAATATAAAAGCGTAATTCATGAGATCTGATATTCTAGATCTATACCTAAAAAGTTAAATTTACCGCCTGACTAAGAGCGTAGAAAGGAAGAGAAGACGTGAAGAAACTCATCGTTTTACCATAACCTTTTAAAAAATTACGGGGCCTAATTTAATCGATCTATAGTACTCTTATGTCTCACTTCATCACAGCTCATATGCAATTTGACAGAAAGAGGCGAAAGAGTACTTTAGTAATATTAGAATTTAGTTTATATGAATAAGAGGATAATTTAAGCGTACATGCAACGACAAAAGCGACATTGTTAAGACTTATTTATTTCGTAGTCCTACAACTAACATAAATTACATCTGTGGCCATAGGTCAGAATATGATAAATGCAATTTCATTACTTTACAGGATAAGCAATTAAATATTATTAAGAAATCTACACTATTAAAATACGAAACACTCGATATATGAATGAATGTAAGTACTTATCATTGTCTGATCTATGACCACATATATATATAACAAAAAACAATTATAAAGAGCACAATTATGCAAGAAACAATTATGCAAAAGTTGAAATACATAACATATACAAAAAGGTTCAAGCATTTACAAGGAAAAAATATTAAATACATTTGACTAATTCAGCTGTGTTGTGTGATGGTGTTGAAGTGAGGGTATATACTTGAGGATGTGTATGTAAGGTGTGCTCATGATGCAGGTGATTTAGCGCTATGGATATTGTGAAGAATATTCCGCGATAGCTTCGACAATATAAATATGTATGTAATTTTATTAAGGATAATTTTAAATTATCATACAAAAGCAATAAGTTTTCGTCGTCACCCTCGGTTTACAGTAAATTGAATTATTAATGCCAAAAGGATTATGTTGATTGGCCAAAATAAATATGTCTGCTCACTACTCGACAGAATTCGCTTTTAATATTAACTTTAATAATATTATTCATCTCATATATAAGATATTTCTTACTTTACACATAGTAAATTCAACAAATTTTAAT